CAAGTTGTTAGTTTGACTCCAAGGCTCTATGATTATGTCCTGAGCAATGTCCAAGAGCCAGAGGTGTTAAAAGAATTACGGGAAGAGACTGCTACAATGCATGGCAGCCAAATGCAGGTCTCTCCTGATCAAGCTCAGCTCCTTGCTATGCTTGTCCAGATTCTTGGGGCAAGAAGGTGCATTGAGGTTGGAGTTTACACCGGTTACTCATCTTTGGCTGTTGCTCTGGCCCTTCCAGAATCTGGTTGTTTAGTCGCCTGTGAGAGAGATGAAAAGGTTCTAAAAGTTGCTAGAAGGTTCTATGAGCGGGCTGGGGTTCTTCATAAGGTGCAGATCAAACATGGGCTTGCCATAGATACTTTAAATGCCATGCTGTTGAACGGAGAAGCTGGCAGCTACGATTTTGCATTTGTCGATGCAGAGAAGAAAATGTATACGACATACTTCGAGCTGTTGCTGAAGCTTGTGAGGGTTGGGGGTGTAATTGTGATCGATAATGTACTTTGGCATGGTAAAGTGGCTGATCCCTTGGTAAATGACTCCAAAACTGCTAGTCTCAGGAATTTCAATAATGCTTTATTTGAGGATGAACGTGTAAGCATCAGTTTAGTACCAATTGGTGATGGCATGACAATTTGCAGAAAAAGATGATAATTTTTCCAACATATTTACTTATAGTCTATATATGCTCATAATGTTTAATCAATCAATTACGAGTACATCAAGCCACGTGTAGGTTTAATGACATAGGCTATTTTTAACTAATTGAACTTCATTTTTTGGTAATCTTGTCGATATGTCACGAACTCATAATCATATAGATTCAAATTCAATGATTCGAATTCACAATCACGAACTCACAATCATATTGATAGAATTATTACTACGCAATTCATATAGTTTGTTAATTAAAAAAAGTTGTCAAAGCGTAAAAAATAAAAAGTTATATGTTAATTAATGGAAAAAGTTGTCAAAAATTATAATACGCGTCAGGTAGGGGTCGAACCTACGACCTTCTGCTTAGGAAACAGACGCTCTATCCACTGAGCTACAGACGCTTTTATTAATACAAAGCCCTTATCAATTTAATTTAATCTAAATAACGAAATTTCACTTCCAGATTCCCGCTAAAAGCAATTTAAACTTCTTCGATTTCAGAGCTACCTTTAACGAACTGAAAGAGGAGAGTGAAAGTGAAAGAACTCAACAACAAAAAAATGGAGGAAAGCATCAACAATTTCAACAAAAATGTAGCAAAATTCTGCAATAATCTTCAATCTACTTCTAGTGCTTTCAAACAATCCCTTGATCGTCGTCCAATTCCTCTCGGTATGATACCCACTTTATCTCTCCTCTTTCTACTGGTTTTACTTTAACCCCTAATTTCTTGAGATTAAGTGTTGATTTTATGCTCAAATTGCTTAATTATGGTGTAATTCTTAGTTTTTGATGTTTAATTTTTGTGGGTGTTGCTCAGATTCGGCGTCCACCACTTTTATGCAATCCCTAAATCGTAGGGTTTCGGCTTTAACGGGGGATCTTAATTTGCTGGAATCAATGTCATTGGGAACTGTGTCATTTGAAGAGCTTCTGGGTCACTGCAATGAGATTTATAAATTGAATCATTCTCATCTTCTTCACCTTCATTCCCATCTTCAATCTTTGGCCTACATTTCCCCAAGTATTTTTTTTTTTTTTTTTTTTGGATTTTTTGAATATTTCTGTGCCTTTGTTTGTTTGTTTGTTTGTTTTAATGGTGAAATTAGGGTTCTACTGAGATGATTTTTTCAGTTTTTAAAGCAGATTGAGTGTTGAGTTGGGTGTTAATTGGAACTTTGTTATGTGGGATAATTTTAATTATTAGGTGATGGAGTAGATGACCTTGAAGAGGATTTTATGGCTCAAAGTAGTAGTTGTGGTAATCCTGATCCTGAACCAGAATCACCGTTCCCGGCTTTACGTTATGGGTCTACCAACAATGTGGATGCTGATTCTTTGTATCCTTTCAATTCATTTTTAGCTTTTGTTTCCTATAGTTATGTGTGTTTTCATGATCGATTTTCGGGCTTGAATGTTGTGCAATTGTGTGACTAATATCTATCTATGAGCTTTTGAATTTAAATGTAGCGTAAAAACTTTCAGCTTGTTTTAATTATTTGTAAATATATATTGCGGTGAAGAATTGTTGTCCTTAACGAGTTTCAAGACTTGAAGGGTCTCCCAGCTTTCGAAACCTTGGATTATCTGAGATTAGTCTAGCTACACTTGCTTCTGGAGGTTAGTGATCCACCATGCTTATTATTTGGAAAATTTGCTAATAGTAAATCTAGCATGTCTAAGCATTTGAATAATAAGATAATGACGAGTTGCTTGTCTTTGCTTCAAATTTCTGTCCAGGAGTTCGCAAAAGTAGTGTGCCTGATAGTCCACCAAAGTAAGATTGCTATCTCTTGCTGGCTTGTGTCAACAATATTATTGGATTTTTGTTATTTTAGCTCACTAGAAATTCATGTTCTACTTTTAATTTCAATAAACAGGTTACATCATAGGTTCAAGGTCCAGAACCAAGATAACCCAAGCATCCTTAATACAGTTGCTGGTAATGTCTCAAACCCGTCAGAATGCTTCATTCTAACTGTATTAATAATGCCGTAAATACTTTTCTGGAGAAAGAATTCTAAGGTAGAAACATATTGAAAAATCTTGACAAGTCAAGTACCTTTCTCTATTCTATACAGAAGAAGAGAGAGATGAACCCAAGTTACGTGAAACTTCAAATATGATACTTGTTTCAAATGAAGACTATGAAAGTCTGCCTTCTTACATGAAAAGTGTGGCTCCGTGGAAGGTATGGTATTTGTTATGTACTTCTCATTGCGGATTCTGCTACATACATTGAATTGCCTTTGTCAGGTTGCGGATTCTGCACTAAATTTATTTATCTTAGGTTGTGTAACTTTTTCCTTTGTCTGGCACAACCTCTCCAAATATATGTAAAGTTTGTCATCATTTGCAGGATCTACAATCTGCAGTTGAGAAAATGAACTCATTCCTAAGCAAGAAGGGAAATATGAAACAAAATACCTTCTTCCATCCCGAGGAACTTGAATCAATGGGATTAGGTAATTCATTTGAATTTTCTTTGATTTCTTTTCTCAAGATTGTCTTGAATTTTTTGTATGACCTATAAACAAAAGTAAATTCTGAATTAAACTCTTCTGTTATCTACCTTTCATATAAAGCCCAAATGTTAAAAACAGCATTGTCTTTGCTCAATCACTTTTCAAGGGATCACTAGCGCAGCTAGTCCTCTTAACTTCTCTCATGATCAGTAAGTTTTGTTCCAAAGCTAGGTCTGTGACTAGATAATATACATATAGCTAAAATTGCATTTGTAAACATTCTCAATTGTATGACTTACTCACTTACAAATTTCAAATTAGGCACTTTGCTTAATAGCTTCACCTTTAACTTGATTGCAGGGACTAAAGGAAGATCGTATGTCCTGCTGCTGGTGCGCATGAAGCGGCTGAATGTTGAGACTAATAATGGATTGATATCTTATAGAGTGCTGTAGAACATCTGTCACAATTATATATGTAAGGAGGTGTTACAAGTATAGCCTGCAATTTGGTGACTTCTGCTGGCTATATTCTGGTTTGTTGTTTTCACAGAATTGTAATTATTGTAATATATTTTCACAGAAAACTCTGTTCAATTCATAAGGTTGCTGCCCTGTTTGCTTCACCTTCTCTTTTTTTGTTTTTGATGAATTCATACAAATTAAGAAAATTTTACTTCAAAAGTAATTAAGATTTAGGAGCTGTTGATCTATTTGAAGAATAAATTCTAGTAAATTTGAGCAAAAAGGCTTATGAAATGTCTGCACCTTCTGAACGGCAATAAAGTTCCTCCCAGTGTCCACCCAATAGCTACTATGTACTATATTTGGGTCCAAATTCCAGAGATGGCATAATGCACCTAAATTTTCAATCAGGAAAGCTTACCAGTGGATCTTTTCAATCATTTGGGTGACTACGATTGCAATCATATGCTCTAGACACAACTACAATTTCAAAAGCCTATAGTCAAAATAGGAACGGAGTACTTAGCATATTGAAAGGGAGGGTAGAAGATTGAAGGAATGGAAAGCGAATATTTATTAGAATAGTAGAGTAGATACACAATACGGTTTAGTTGAGTCGACCAGTCTGGCTCAACAAATTTGGGTTCCAAGGGAGCCCTCCTAGGGGTTGTCTCTGACTTGCAAAAAAAAAAAATGCTAAATCCACTACAATGTGTGCAAAGAACAACACTAACTCTTTTTTAAAACACTACAAATAAGACATTCCCGGCAAAAGCAAAAACATTTGATTGAGATAATAAGCACTTCATTGGATGTGTAATAACTTAAACTACAATTCGCCGGTACTGTTCTCTTTACATAATCCTTAAAAATCAGGCATTCTCAGCCATTGCATCCAACCAGCCATTATACAAGACCCATAATACTTATGGCACTAACCCAAGAGTTAGGATTAAAAAAAAAAAAAAAAAAAAAAAAAAAAAAAAAAAAAAAAAGAAATGACAATACTATAACCAATTTACAAGCCTTTTCCAAAATCTTATATACTTCTAAAATTACACGAGACTCAATACATCAACAGCCTCTCCTCTAAGATAACCAATGTCGAACAGGAGATAGAGAATCATCAGAAAAGCTCAAACAAGATTGCATGCACCAAGGGGACAGCCCTAAAACTGGGAAAATTCACTTCCATCGCGCTGCTTGAAGCTGATTCCCTACAAATACATCATCCAATTGAAAAACAGTTAAAAGCATGCCTCTAATGTAGTTCCAGGTGTGCTATAGCCCATCCCTTTTTGTATATTCCATTTGATCCATTGGCGAAAAGGCATTAAATATGTTTTGCATGTTTATGGCTAGCTCATCAAATCAGTTGTATATTTTTACTGGCTTCTCATATGCGTGACGATTCTGCAAAAGTAAATATACATAAACAATCACATTTCCACAAGTATCCAAACCAGGATTGAGGAAAACCTCAAGCAAGAAAATGAATTTAGCAGGGCAATCCATTTAAAAAAAAAGGTAATCAAAGGTAAATTTTACCTGATTTGCTGTGTAAGCCCTTTTTGGAGTAGTATCAGTATGTTCCAACCCCAAGTACTGCTCCCAGGCACCATAAACATCTCTCCTCTGTCATAATAAATAAAAACAAACAAGAGAGAACTTCAGAAAATTTTAACGCAAAATTAACATTGATGTCATACTATCCAATATTGGACATACCATCCTATTTTGGGAAAGTTTTTAAATGAAAATAAAAAGAAATACTTTTCATCACCAAGTTAACAAAACTCTACCTTCACCCCCTTCCCAACCCTTTTTGCATCACTATACCTCCAGCCCAACCCTACTATCTATCTCCCACAAGAACCAGGAACTTGGTCGGAAGAGAACAGAGAGAAGAACAGGCTCAAAAACCTCTACCCTTAATCCCATTGTCATTTAACACAACCTAAATTCCCATACCTATCATCCCTTTCACTATATTTATTCAGCTGACAATTGCTAAGGTGTAAATGGAGGGGATGGTGCTCCAAATGATAAGACTACTCAGTATGGAGATGGTACAATGGAGGGAGTGGCACTAAAACCTGGTAGGGGAAAGAGAGAAAGCTGTGGCGATGCAAGGAGTGCTGGAGTGAAGCTGAAAAGGTAAAGTTTGTTTTTATCATTTTGTGAGTTGATATAGTACATTGGTTATTGCTCCCTCTGTCCCATAATATAGCACCCAACTCTTTTAGCGCGATCTTCAAGTCATACCTTTCACCATCATATTAACAAAAATTATGAAAAGTTGATATTATAACACTTCACATTAAGATGAACCTAACCTATCTCACGACTACATTTATTATTCGCAATATTGAAATTTTTTAGTCCGTAAACTTTGACCACAGATGAAAAAAGGCACTATTATGAGACCCAGGGAATGAGTAATATTATCATCGGAATAATTTTTCCCAAACTACTTATTTTTTAAATGGTGTTCAAACTTTCTGAACAAGGTTAAAAATGGAACAGCAGACTAGTTTTTAGAGGACTCTCAACTAATCTATTCTACAAAAGTGTCAACCTCTGAAGACAAAGAAAGAAAAGGACAGCAGAGAAAAGATTCAAAACCTGAAAACGGCTGGATACAATGTCAGTATCCTGCAAATACTCTGGCCGACCCAGCGACAAAAAAGCAAACTTCCACTGCAGATGTAATATGGGATAAAAACGACCAATGATCAATAATTGAAGAATGTGTTATCTTAAGATGTTCATTCAAAGCCATTAGTTAACTTTGTAAGGCAACCATTATTGAATTATGGAACTAAAAGAGTCGAGAGTAAAATGACTAGAAAGTAAACTATAATAGTTCCTCTTACATTGCCCAGTTAGTGGCACAAAAGAACGACAACATACCTTGGAAAATTCTTCATCAGGAACACGCAACTTCTTCTGTATTCTCACTTTAATTTCAGCTAGTGTTTCACCTTCACGAATGACCAAGAAAAAGGGTTCCCCAAAGTTCTGCACTTGCTGAGACAAAAAATACATGATCATCAGTATCACAAATGATGGACCAAACAAAAGTACCTAACCAATATATTTAGTATGCCGACCGAGTTTTTCAAATCCTTACCATCTGATTCTGTGCGGTCTCCTTAGTAAAATGGTAGACATGCATCAAACGATCATTAGGTTCAAGGTTCTTTTCATCTTCAGGGATCTGAAGCCCAAAAAATCAATAATGTGAACCAGCACAAGAAATACACTCAAAAATGCAAATGTGATCGGTAAAAAGAAGATTAAAATAGCAATTTATGACAGAAGATAAGCAGTAAGATTTCAACAAAGAAAAAAAATTACCTCCTCTGCACGCAACGTCCAGTACTGGTCATTTATATTTTCAATCTTTTCACTAGATGGAAAAATCTGCAACAGTAAAGATGATCAATTTGCATTCCATAAGTGTTCATATATAACAAAACCAAAAGTACTTTCTACCATTAATTTCAAAACAAAAAACCAGCCATACCACAATAGATAAGGCTTGAAATATCACATGCTATACCTTGTAAATCTTGTGGTAAAAAACTTCAAGTAATCTGAGCTCTGCATCAGGATGTGACAAATCCACCTATTCGCAAAGGAAAACAAAAAATATATATGTATATAAGTGGCAAAGGAAGTTGTCACCTTTTTTTAATTGCCATGACATGCAAATTAATGTCATGCAATGCTCAAAGGAAAACAACTACAGCCCCTAAAATACATTCCACTTGAGACTAGGTTTGGCAAAGTCAGATGGACGCAATTTGTGGATTAACAGTGGATATAATTAACAAGTATTAAAACTGTTACTGTTCAATATTCTTGCAAGGGGAGACCATACGAGAAGAAGAGAAGGGGGGGGGGGATTGCATAGGTGGCCTTATATTCTTGCATTATAGATTAGAGGCAAACTTTTTACAAAAATTTAAATAAATAAATAAATACAAAAAGCCCTAGGTTCCAATATTATATACTAAGTAATACGGTTAATGGAACTATTATAAACTTAACCATAAAGATTCCATTTTAACCTTTTGGGATTTTTATTATATAAAAATATTATCCATCATCCTTTCCAGCAGCCACCACCACCCATCACATGCACCAACCCCTATAAGCCAGAGGCTACCACATGCCAATTTAGCCAAATTTCATCAACCAAACCTTATGATACATTGTCCATCAACTGAGCTTATGATACATTGTCCATAAACCTTATGATACATTGTCCATAAACCTTATGATACATTGTCCATCAACTGAGCTTCCCCCTGTTGCTCCCTGTTGCTGCCTCAAAGACTTAGTTTTCCAACCAAACCTTATGTTACATTGTCCATCAATACCCTTAAGATTTCTCCTGAAATCTCTCAGCCAGCAAATAAACTTCATGCTCTTTCAGTCCATTATGGCAAGTCAATCAAACATCAGCAGCATAATCATCAGGCATACAAAATAACCTTTTGTTCTCAAATTCTTCATGATGATTCCAAATATCTCTTCTTGATAGTTCCAACTCTCCCAAGTCCAACAATACACCTCTGATGATTTTAAAGGAAAGTAAAGAAATGTGACCAAATACAATGAAGTAACATAAAAAGATCGGTCTTTTTATACAATAAAAAAATGTAGTGCCTTGTCTATTTTATTTTTCTAATTACTTTTAATTGGCAGTCTGACACCCTAAAATTGTTTTAAAATTCTTGATCCTGGAGTTCATTTGTTATCAAAAACTTCAAATATATTCTAAGGATTTTTTTTTTTTTGGTTGGGGGGTGGTTATGATTTCCATAATTAGTCTGAGAGCTACATAACAGAAATCCTACCGGCATTATTTTAAAAGTTAAATCAAAAGCGCCTTTTTAACAACAATGAAGAATCTCAATTCAAAAAAGATGGGGTCAGCCAAGGTCCAACAGTCCAAGATGTCATCCCCAATCAGCACTCAATATAACCTGTGTACACAATTTGACATGATTACTTGTAATATCCTGTATCTTTCCACCCAGATCATCTATTGACATGATTACTTGTAATATCCGCAATATTCCAACTCGCAATCCTTCAAACCAGTTCCACCTGATGTTAATGTTGAACATATCCAAACAGTAGTCAGATGCTCGCTCCTTCACCTCACTCCACCTTCACTGTCAATTTCTTCATATTCAATCTCTTTCTGTCATTTACAATTTCTCTCTCCTAAAAAACAGCTACCAAACTTGTATAACAACTAGTCCAACAACAGTCCAATACTTTCCCTTCACCAACAAAATACACATTGCATGTAAACAATAAAAATTTCCAAGGCTTTTCACTAGATCCTGTGAAAAAAAAACACTTGGTCTCCATTCTTCTAGATGACAGACCCCAAATATCCAACAGTCCCATAAAACTTACCCTTCATCAAGAATCTTCCTCTGTACCAAATTCATACACCAATACTCCACCTTACTACATCTCAGAGTGAACTCAAGCTTCCATAACTAGTATCCATATTAGTGAAGGTTAAATTCAGTACTACAGGATAATTCATAAGCATTTCACAAAAAGAAGGCCTAAGTTTAATAGAAATCAGCTTACTCAATCTAACAGTTATTTCAAATTTTCATTTTCCTCGTTGAAAGCATTTATATTGTCAATTCTTCTTTATCGTTGCGACACTGAGGGAGCAGGAGATAGGGCAGGTGCATGACAGGTTGATTAAAGCATCAATACTTTACACAAAAATATTCTTTTAACAGAAGTGCAAAAAGAAACACTATAAATAAGATACATTGTGGCAAAATAAATAGCCTACAGCAACTAGGAGCAAAAGTGCACTTACCTTTGTCTTTAATTCATCAATTACATCACCAACAGTACTCTGCTTCGGTAATCTAATATTGTGAATTACCACCTATATAACAAATACTTACTTTTTAGTTGAGTAAAAATTTATCAAAACGGCATACGACAACGTACAAAAAACAGACAAAAAGTATACAGCATTAAATATTGGCTTGTAATCACACTTATATATCAAATTGGTAATGAATACAATATGAAAAATCTGACAACAAATCTTGGTCATGACATTCAAACATACCTCATCTTTTGTGGCATGATGAAATGCTACTTTAAGATTTTTTAGTCCTTGTAATTCTGGCAGAGGAATGTCAAGTGTTTCATAATACAACACATCAGAAGTCTGCAATAAAGAGGACAAAAAAATATATTAGATGTCCACTTGACATAGTCCACGTAACAGAATATAAAAAAATAAAATAAAATAAAAAATAAAATCAGTTAAGATGTTTACATACAGCCAAGCCAATTATGAGATCCAACAAGAAAGCAAATTATTTGATTTTGTCAGATAAAAACAAACAAAAAAGGTAACACGTAATCATTCTTCTTGCTACACGCACATTTGTTTCTGACCATCTACAGCCCATCTTAATCCTTCAAATTGCATCAACTTTAGCTAAGTTATCGGAAACCTACTTTCTTAATACTAACAAACGTATCTGACCCGTTTCAAACCTGAATCAGTATCGGGTCGTATCAACCCAGGTGCGAAGCCAAAACACCGTGTCTAGGTAATATGGTAATTGACTACAGTAATCGGGATACACTATGTTACTTGGACTTGGGTACCCATGTCCAATACGAATATGTGTCCAAGTGTCCGACTCGGCTATTTTTTTTGAAATTTTTTAATGATTTTGAACTAAAATGAAGTGTCCAAGTGTCCCACCCATGTCCGAGTGTCAAGGATTCAACACGAGTACGTGAGGTGAAACGAAGAGTCCGAGTAACATAGGGGATACATAGTAAAAATGAAGAAAATAACTACATCGGATCTTAAAGCATTCAGGAATATAAATAATTTATCTTGTCAAGGACAAAAACTAGGGGAACACAAGGCTGCCCCAAAACACCTATCAACTATGTGATTTGACCAAGAATATCAACAATAAAACATTTCAGATGAACTTCCACAAACTCGGCAAAGAACAAATAATACCTGAAAAAACTTCCATCTACGTGCATCCCATACAATAAAAAAAAAAATTCTACAATTAAACAGAATTTATCTCCACAAAAAACACGGCCAAGCCATTTTCCCAACAGAGAAATGATTTCAAGAATTTTATAAATTTTGAAATCATCATCAATACTTCAACTACATCATACACCAACTCCTAGCACAAATCCCTCTTTCCCTTCCTTAGCCATCACCAATAAATTTACCCAAGTAACTATTTCAATAGAACATTATACAAAAGAGAACTTAAAAATTAATAAAAAAAAAAAAAAAATCAAAGACAAAAAAGCGTTGCAAGCAATTTGGGGCGGCTTTTATTTTCTTTTTCTTTTTCTCTTTTAATAAAATAAAATTCCGTTAGGTTTTTGATGGCAGGTGGTAAAAAACAATTTTTAGAATTTTTTTTGGTGGTAAAACAAAACTTTTGGTGGTAAAAAACAATTTGTTGTTTTTTGTTGGTGGTAAAAGTCAAAAAGTCCATATAATTTTACTGCTTAAAAACCAATAGTGCGTGCCAACATAAGCATGGGTTTCATACATGCATTATTGCATTTATATGTCATATGCAAGCTATAAGTTTGACACAAGAGTTCACTTTCAACGACTGACATTTACCTGATTGTAATGAACCAGCATGTCAGACAAATGATCTACTCCTCTATATTTGATAGGCTGAGGTTTAGGCTGCTGAGAATAGCAATTATGAGATGTCAGCCTAATCTTTGAAGGATCGTCTAGACCAAGTCTCTGAGCAACTCTTTCAACAACTTCATCATATGTATTTATTTTTGACCTTAATCATACAGCAAAAAAAGAGGTCAGATAATTATCAGTAAAGTACAAACATGCAGAATTTTATAACTCCTCGTAACACAAACTCACAATTCAAGGCAGAAATCATCTTCTTTGGGTCTCTCCAGAGATCGAAAATGGACAACCTGATAGGTTAAATCAATCAAAGGGTTGGGTTAAAAAGCATGAAGAGCATGTTCTCACTCTAGAGCAAAAAAAATAAAAAAGAAAGTTATCCTTAATTCACACCTATGACAGAAATGTGATACCAAACTACATTGAAAATGACTTAAATGGAAAGACAACATGGACAAAGATAAAGTAACTCTAAAATAAAACTGTAAGAGAATGGTCAATGACAATCTACATTGATAAATGCCCCATAAAACAGATACGAAGCACCAAAATCATATACACAGAAAGTGACTGTGTAAAAGCAATGACTGGAATGAGAAACAACAAAACCAATCATAAACCACCAAGTGGATGATATGTATCCTTTAAACCCTAGAACTTTCCAGCATTGTAAACAATGTCTCAACTTACACAATCCTAGTGAAAGGAGGCCCAATTATGGAATATGGCTAGTTGACTCTTGATAGATGCATAACATGACAAATCAACCAATCTCCACAATTATATCTTACATTAAAAGGAAATAAAGGTGCATCGGTACGAAGAGTGAAAGAGTGGGATCATGGAGATGTTAAATGAGGTAGAGGGAGACCGAAAATGACTTGGTTGGAAGGAGTTAGGAAGGATATGAAGCATATCAATGTGCATGGGAATAAGGTATTTGACTGTAAGGGATAGATGAGAAAGATTTGTGTGGATGACAATACTGAATAACCACTTGGTTCATGTAGCCGACCCCACTTAAAGAATTAAGGCTTTAATTGATTGAATCAAGTAATATATATACTCCTCCGTTTCTATTTACTTGACTAACATTCCTAAAAGGAAATGTCATATCACTTGACCCATACTATATTTGATAAGCTTTTTGTAGATAAATTCTCTAAATTACCCTCATAAATTGCACATGAGGGCTACTTTTAAGGGTAATAAGGTAACCCATATGGAACAAGGCCCACAAAACTACAATTTCTCTCTCCTCTCCATAAATATTGTGCCCAAGGCCATGGGTTAAGTAAATAGAAACGGAGGAAGTATATATAAAACTGGTAGCTGGAAATTAATTAATCAGATAATTCAAACTAAAAATCACAACACGATGGTTAAAGTGGAGTGTGTGAACAGTATAATTCAAACAATAAATCAAAAACAGTGTAGACGCTATACAGCTTTAACAACTGATTACCCCAGTCAATATCATAGTTTGATTTTATTACCACACGCTAGTATGCTACAATATGACATTCAAAGGGGAGAAACAAAAAAAGAAAAAAAAAATTAAAATGCATTCCAGAACAGTTTTCACGTCATGGGCAGTTTATCATCTAATTTCATGTAGTCTTAGTGCACCCATCTATATTCCCTAAATTCTCACAAACATAGAATTCAAAATTGCAGAAGCAAAGTAAAAGTAGAAAGCTTTGTATCTGACTAGTGACACCTCTCTCTCCCTCTCACACACACACACACAGCACACAAAAAAAAAAAAAATTAAAAAAAATTTAAACTCCATTTTGAAAGTTCATTTTGAAGCCAGAAGCATTATTATACCACAATATATATATATATATATATATATATATATATATATATATATATATATATACCTCTTATGATGCTCAGGGATACAGATTTGGACTCGGATAATCCGAGTATAGGACACAGAAATATGATTAAGTCCAAATTTCAGACATGGACTGGGGATACGAGCAATTATGGGGAAAATATTCCAGATTATTTCCTATGACTTTAAAAAGTCATTTTTCAATAAGAAAATTAGTTTTTAAAAAATAAAAATAATTAGTAAGAAAAAGAATTAACGAAAAGTTAATGAAGAGTGTAAAAAAAACTACAAAGACTACATGGGAAATACAAACTCACAAATCAGCAATCAGTAGACAGCATAAGATAACTTGAAAAGGCAACAACATGAAAAGTCAAATCAAAATAGTCCTCAGGACAAGTTCCTTTATACCTGACGATTGTGCACATACTCTAAGAACGATGGTACATCAGGATAACGGTATTGCTCCTCACTATCAATGGGAGGAACTTTCTGGTAACAGATAATATCACCATCTTCCAACTGAAATTCACAATAGGAGAAATGTCATAATGGAACATAGTAATGCTAAAGAAAGCACAGAGATTGTCGCATTACCTGACTCAGCCTAAATGATGTTCTCTTGTCAAGGGGCTCACACATGACACATGGTTCGAACTTTATCTCCTATACATCAAAGATATGAAATTAAAACCAAAAATGACCAAATTTAATTTATAATTAAAAAAATAAAAATAAAAATTCCAATGTCACATGGAGCAATCTTCAAAAAACTAACCTCAAAAAGTTCAATATCTTCATCAGGAGCAAAGCCAGCCATCTCATTTAATTTATTCAAAATTTCAGCTGGTTTACCAGTACTTTTGACAAAAATCCTACCTACATATCTGCCAAGATAAAAGTAACTTATTACTGATAGAACAAGATCAAAACTAACAGTTAGAAGATAAATCATAGAAAGGGAAAACTGACTACCGGAGTTCTTCTTTTTCAGGATCATAAAGCTTGAAAAAGAGCAAGATTTCATCCTTTGTTTTTTCTGGAGGAGCAATCGGTTGAAGATCCTGAGAAAATTAACAAAAAAAAAAAGGTACAATAAGTAAACAAAATCTATACTCTTACTGTCTTAGATTTAATCTCTAATGGTTAAGAAAATCCACTTTTTCAAGGAATAACAACTGAGCTTGAATTAAAACAAATATAGAAAATATTCCAAATTAATCTTAATAGTAAAATGCTCTCATTATTTATAATGCAATTTGAAGCTCTTACTACACTGGGAACTCAACTTTCACAAGTTTTAAATATTGATATTGATAGTTGATAAAATTATTAAAATTCAGATGAAAAAGAGACAACAATTCAAGGATAGTAGTAATACTAGTAGATATCGAAAAACTGTACAGACTACAAAAAATATGCAGGTAAACATACCGGCCCTATCTCTACTTCCAGAAACAGCTTTAGTTCTGCATTGTGCATCTTATTTGATGCCTCTCTCAATTGCCCTACCTGCAGAGTATTTACAGATACTAAGTTCCATAGATTCTCAAAAAAAAAAAAATGGTACAAATTGATATTCATAACAATATGGACTAAACAAAAAAATAATAAGAACAATAATAATAACATTATTATTATAGGAAAAATAAAGTGAGCATAATTCTGACACATTTCTGTAATCATACATTTCCAAAATGCCAACAACAGCCTAATTGGAGATGAGGCAACAAAAAATAACATCAAGCTGGGTATAATATTAATTAGAATATGCAACAACCAGTAACAACGGCTTAAGAACATCTCCAAAAACACCTTCACACTTGATAAATTGACTAAAATGACTTCAAATTTTTTTTTTCCTATCCAGTCTCCAGGATAACCCCCTTAGAAGAGAGGAAAAACCATAGAGGCTGAAGAAGGCAAAAGGAAAAAGTAATAGAATTCTCTTGCATCTTAAATTTAGGCTTTGATACAGAGGATTACATCCACATTTCTCTCTCTCTCTCCTTACCTCTCAAAAAAGAAGGCCTTGCCGAACTCACAGATTAACCTACTCTAGGGCCCCGCGAACTCCACCGACTTTAAGGACATTTTTTCGAGATAAGGACTTGTAAAAGTCGAGTAATCGCAAAAGTAAGGTCTCAGGGGGGGGGGGGTGTTAGGGAATCCCCATCACAACCTCATACTTGTGCGGTATAAACCCTTTCCACTAGACCTAGCCATGCTTGTTAACAACGCTCAATTTAGACTTGGAGATAGCTCATCATCCACTAAAGAAGAAAGCTTATGTAAGATACATAGTGCCTTTTTCACAATCACTGAGAGGTATTGACAAAACCGTAAAAAATTGCTTCAATTGATTTCGAAACTTTTGGAACAGAGAAATGTACTGAGAAATGTACTCACAGCTTGGGTTTCTTCTTGTGCTGTCAAAGGTCGATTAGGCCGATAAGTGTGGTTTTGGCGCTTTGCCCAGATCCAATATCGCTGAAATTGAACAGGTATACCAAATTCTTTGGCAACCTCCTCCTAGACAAGTAGCATAGAAGATAAGCAAGTCATTATAGATAAAGCTTTTTTCTCATAAACAACACAAACAAAACTAAACAAACGGAAGAAAAAACAAGACACTATTCAGATTGATCAGATAATGAAGATGCATAATAATATTTATGCCCCACACGATTGTAGAAGTCCAATTCTAGAGTCAATTGTTCATGGTATGTTACTCTGACTCTTCATTTAACCTCAAGTACCCATCTTAATAATTTTTGGAAAACAATATGACATTGATCCCCTCCATTTTGACCTAAATTTATGCAATACAACCCTTGGACACGTACTTATGTCTGACATTTTATAGCCGAATAACAGGATTTAAAAACTGTTAACCCGAGGAAGCATTTTGTTATCTGATTCTATAGTTTGCAGTATGTATTATAGGACAAGTAGATATAAATGTTAATCACTTCCTTATTATTTAATTTCGAGTGTTACTTGGATTATGTCTTACAAAGTTTCTTATTTTCCACGTAAGATTTAAATTATTCTAGGACCTATAACTTTCATAGTTATACATGTCTCAGTTCATTTAAAAATTCAAATTAAATTAGTTAAATGATATGAAAGTTCCTCACCTCTATCAGTACACTAACATGCTATACGGCACAGAACTTCACAAGAAATCACAAAGGCTCATCATCAAAAAAAAGTAACCACAGCCAATCAGGAGTCAAGACTTCAGTTTATTGAAAGGTTCTGAACATATTCTAGAGGCAAAAAATTTAAACAGGAACAATTCAACATGTAATAAAGAGCTAGAATTTCATTTATATCTTTTAGCATAGCTATTATCAAATGATAAAAAAAGAAGATAAGCTACTGCCACTGAACAGGCTAAGGCTGATAAGGGGGTTACACAGGTAAATACCTGTAGTTAAATGACAGAAACTCTCTGATCATGTGATTAAATTTTCTTGTAAGTCGCATCAGATTCTCAAAATGTACTTATCACCAACAAACTCATATTATTACCTCAAGGGGCCTAAAATCTGACCACTTAACTTAAAATTACTGATGAAGGCTATTGCTAGTAGTTTCAACTTATGAGAATAGCTAAATCTGTAGCAAACTATAAAAAAATAAACAAGTTTGCAAATAAGTATTATGGCTAAAAGCAATTTGCAATTAGACTAAGCACACCAATCAGGACCTTTCCAGGGGCAGAGAGAGTAAGAGGCTCATTAAATTTATATTTTTGGTAGGAGAGGGGGAGACAGTTACAAAGAGAGATCAACTCATTACCTTGAATTGATTAAATGGCGTCTGCTTTTGAACACGAAAACTGCGAACTTTATCATGATCTACAAGATCAAAATTAATATCCTTTCCAATCTGTTCTGCAAGGTCATCATCTCTTGCAACCTATACGTATTAATTAATTGCTTCAACCATGCACCAATTAAAAAATGACAGTTACAATAACATGAGCCACGGAAAGAAGAATTTAAAAAATATATATAACCTTGATGATAGTAAATAGATGCGCCTGTGCTTTGTACCTCCTCTTGTCTTCTTTCTCTTCTTGCTCCTTCTTCAATCTTGTCTAATAATAATAACAATAAAATAATAAACCATAGAAATATCAGATAACATCAAGAGTTCACAAGCATAAACCTAAAATTCTGCCACGAAACAGAGAAAAAAAAACTTTACCTGAAGGTGTTCAGCAATATCTTTCTCATCCACGTCACAAACCACTTTCTCCTTGTCACTCTCACGTATATACACAAGCATATACGCATTTGAATATTTTGTAAACTTGAAAGGCGCATTATTAAACCCTGGATTTGCCTGTGGCAACTGGACAACATAAAAAAATATATAAAAAAACTTAGTCTTCAAGCTACTCCACATCTCTGCTACAAACAGAAATTAAAGAAGCAGCAGAAATAACTCAGTGGTTTGCACTTTGTAACACATACCTCTTCTTCACCACCATATTGCTCTTCTAATACCCTCTTATTATCCTCTTTAGTTACCCGCTCATCATCAAATTTGAACCTGATTGAACGAATCGGATACATATCTTAAGCAATTTTAAGGCTTTTAGTTTAAGTAAAAAGATATGCAGCATAATGTAACCAGCAGTGAGTGACCAACAAAACATTTGAGATATAACATAAAGCAATTCATACATAGAATTAAGAAAAATCAAACGCATTTGAGAGGCCTATGATATCATAAAGCAATTCATACATAGAATAAGCACATACCCTATGGTGCACCTACCTTTATGTGCACCCGGGTGTATAGAAAAAGTGTTGCATAATAAAAATGTATCTAGAAAAGCTAATTGCCAGAAAACACTAAGCTACATAATTTCACAGGTATAAACCTGCAAAAAGCTACAACTAATTGTCTATTTAAAAAGAACCAAGTGATGTCATATAATCTTGAAACGGGCAGAGTAAAAATGTCAACTTTGTTTAAAATTCTATTCTCTTTGATTGCATCTAACAATAGCAAAGTGAAAAAGAAAAAGAGTTGCAAGGCAAAACAAAGTTAATAACCATAACTCTTTATCCGATGAGTCTTCCATTTTTGAAATATTGATAGATGCAACTTCAGTTTCCCCTAAATGACAGCAGACCCCTCCCTAATCCAGGAAATGCATAGTTTTGCAACCTCCTCCTCCAATATACATATGCTTTTCCTCAACCAATTGTAGGCAATATTTTTGAAAGACCTCCAAGGCTCCAACCTAAACCCAACAAAAAAGCTGCTTTTATAAAACTCACCATACTCCCTTAGCACCTAGTCTTACCCCGACCACCCCCCCCCCCCAAAAAAAAAAAAAAAGAGCCTTAAGGTCACTGGGAAACTTGGAAATCCAGCACACAGAGTAGATAAAATGTCCTCCTTTAGCCCCTGTTAGGCGGCCATGATCATCTGTACTCAGCTGTTGCAGGGTGCTAGATCTTAGAGTGAAAGATAAACAGCATGTGTGTAGAAACTTGAATTTCAAACCAGTTGAGCTTGAAGATAACTCTATAACTATAGGATCAACTCTAGCATCATGGGTTAATGCAGAAAGACCAAGGTATAAGTATCAGTGTGAAAGTAGCAAAAAATTAAATGAGTACCTGGACAAATCATCAGCTTGGGAAAGAAATAAAGAGGAGGAGGAGGGGGGGGGGGGGGGGGGGGGGGGGGGGGGGGGGGGGGGGTTAGCAATATCACTTCAATTGGGAGTTTCAACTTTCAAGTGATATTTATGGGCTAATACTCTCTAAAATCCTAATTTATTGTTATGCAATGACCCATATAACCACAAATTCCCACACTTATGCTAGACCTATGAATAAAGGCAAGATTGGAAAGCCAACACAACAAAGTGAGATATTCTATTGAGCCTTACCTTGGAAACAAAGAGGGTAGAAAGATAGAGCGGAGATGATAGAGTTAGTTAAGGAGAGAGAAGGTGACATCAGCAACAGCGAGTTGGCAGCACAAGACAGTAGAATTCTTAAGCGTGAAAGGTAATTGGGAAGAAAATTCAGGAAAGTGATTTTTATTTGTTCGAGCATTATACAGGTGATAAAGATACAAATGAGCTCCTCCACTAGGTCTTCTCTTTTTTTACCTTCTTATTTTTGTTTTCTGTCAGCTCCAAACTTCACAATCTATTTGTTTCCTGACATTTAAGCCAAGGAGAAGGGACGGACATAGAGCAGAAAAATATGGTAAATTTAAGCCAAGGAGAAGGGATGTATAGCAGAAAAATATGCTCCCTCAGTCCCACAATATTCTTCACATATTCCTTTCTCGTCAACAATACTCAATACATTTCTAATTAGAGAAATGACTGCACTAATACTTTGAGTCATATCTCTTTCCAATACTAAGATGTTGGGTCCCACATTTAAAATAAAAAAAAAATAAAAAAAATAAATAAATAAATAAATAACTTCTATCACATCTACTTTTTCAATAAAATAACAATTGATAACCAAACTACTAGATGTTGGGTCCCACTAAGTGTCATGAGTATTTTAAGACGAAAAGAGTATTATTTTTTACAGGATATGATCTAAAAGAATTCAGCATGAGTTAAGTTGGTTGAATATTATAAATGAAAAAGGCAAACAAGACAAGAATATTAGGGGAATAAATCAGAATTCCCTTTGCATAAATACTTACCATTGGTCAGAAAGAGTTGGCCGGATAAAAGCATAATAATGCCCGCCATGGACTCCGCCACTATGTACCAAAACACTGTCAAAAAAATGAATAGTTAGGATTCAACAGCACTGATGACAAAACAATTAAGAAAGTTGTACGGTAAAAGAAGCATGCTCATTGTTACAAGGTATATCATATTACTGACAACACACTATTACAATTATCATTCTCAACCCTTCAACCATATGTAATACTTCAATGGTTGAGACAGTCACTAAGAAAAAACCAATGCTTTAAAAAGAAAACCAAAGTAGGAACGCGTATCTAGCAATAGAACTAGAGTATTACTTGTATTTCAACCTCACCATATTGCAAACAGTTCTGGAGTCTTATACTCTCTCTATCCCTAAAAAGTTGGCTTGACAATTTATAAAACTAAAGAATAGAATTTGCGCTAATCTTTTAGGGACGAAGGGAATATTATATGTATGCTTTAAAGTAATCATAATTAACATTAATCACCATGCCAGTACAGTATACATATATATTAGTAAAGTTTACAGTAGTATTCAACATCACAAGCACCACACGACCAAAAGAGTTAAGCAATCAGCTCCAGCTTCCAAAAGCTTAACATGATTATAATGCAGAAAATAGTGGAGTGGTTGATCTCTTAGCATCCTTGTGGTTGTAGATACGGATTATAACAGAATCTTACAACTATACAAGTTCAACATCAGTAACTAAGACTTGAATGCATTTTAAATATATGACAACAAAATTCAATATTCCTACAAGCACAAGCTGAAGAAATAAATGTCTGAATTAACTCAAAATAAAAATGACCATAAAAAAAAAAATTTAAATCATTTAAATAATAAGATATGGAGAATGACATCAGACCTGTGAAGTACATATAGGTTTCGAACACTCTTATCAGCTCCAGGGGCTAAATATTTCCCATTTTCTCTGTCAAGGTCAAGCTGAAGCGGAAACTCATAGCGATCATTGATCTGCATACAAGCACAAAACATTATAAAATATCTACATTTATGCTGCAGATATATGCAATTCAATCATATTCAAAATAAACAAAATAAATAAATAAATCTCCACTACGTCATCACACCACCCACCTAACTCAACGGAACCAAATCTTGTCTGTAACAGCAACAGGTGTACTCTAAATGAAAAGTTCTCACAATTAAAGTAAACTACCATGACCAAATTCCAGGAAAAATATTAGCTTATGATAACAAATCAGGTATTGGCTTTGCAGCTTTTGTGGCTTATGGCAATACACAAAAGAACAAACTATCAAGTTGTTTGAAAAAGAATATAGCATACTTGACATAGAATACGTGAAGAATCATACACTTTGGCAGAATGAGAAAACAACAAAAAGTATATAAGTAGAACGCAGGAAAGATAATAAGAAAGGGCTCATTGGCAAAATAAAAGAGAATAAATGCGCAAATGTTCTCTTCTAGGAATGTTAGGTCACTTATACAACAAGCTAGCTCACTTTATCGTCTTTGCTTCAAAGCTCTAACACCTTCTCACTCTGAGAAATGACTAATATTCTTTATATTTTGGCACAGACAAATAGCTAAGTTTGAGCACAAACAGAGAGTTTGAGCATGAACAAGCAGCAACAGAAGACGACACTAAAAAGGAAATAAATTGAGGAGGAAGACACTGCACAAAATGAGTAATTACCTTTACCATAGTATCCCTCATAAAGTCATATTCAAACCTCTTGAGTTGGAGCTGAAGTACTGGAGGGAAATCAAGGAACAGAACACCTTTCTTAGCATCCTGAAACAATTTTAAATCATAATTAAACATCAGACTATCACATTCAGTGCAAAGACCTGACCAAAAAAAAAAATAAGAAGAAGAAGAAAAAAGAGTTGGTCTAATGCATTACCAAACCCAGTAAAGTGAAAGGCTGATTCAATGCTTTTTGGATGATTCAGTGTTTAGCCTGACATATCAAAGTCTAAAACTCATGTCTTAATTACAAGTGTATAACCCTTATATTATACTCGGTCTCACACAGTAGTGATTACACTTTCCTTTATTATCAATCTCAAATTAGTTTTCGCACTACCATTTTGGGAAAGGCCTCACTATTATTTTAAATTCTTTACTTTAATTCAGCTCTCTTCTCACTACAAAAAAACTAGGATCTCACATCCTCTCACATTCAATAAAATAAACCCTAATATCATCCATCACAGCCAGTTTTTAAACTAAAAAAATATACAATATCTCCTTTACATTTAAATAAATAAAATTGATAGTCAGACAGAAAATTAGATAGCTTAAAAGCAGTTAAGCATTTCAGCATCTGTTTTTTGCATAAATTCTTAAACCCATGAGTCAAGCCAGGCTCAACAGAAATTAAAGAGCTAAGAGGAGATAAATGTTGCTTAAATTCAGCATTGGCCATTTTTTTCAGAAATCCCCAAAACCACATGATTGGCAATTTCAAGCCTAACCCCAAACCTTGTATTAGATTTTATACTACTAAAATTAGCATCAGGCACTTGGGTATTTGCAAAAGCACAAGATAATAATTTAGACTAGAGCTATGAAATTTTGACAATATATAGTGACTAATGTCTATACCACATTGAAGCAATGAAGCGTCAAGTATTTGTTACAAGTATTTCAGCAAAACTGGTTAGTCCAAGTAATCGAGTCAAAATAAAGGATCCAAAATAAATCTGAATTTATAATTGAGATGAACAGGACAACTTTTTAAAGGCAGCAAATAAATGTCACTCGTAAGCAAAGAGAAAGTTATACACAGTGAGAACAAACAGCTGCATCAAAAGAACTAACAATAAAGGGCAGCCAGAATAGGGAAAAAGAAAGTCCCACAAATGATATACTAATGGTCTTATCTACAGTAGAGCTACAAACAATGGTCCAATTCAATAAGACAGGTTGTAAACTAACAGTGACTCGCCGCATTAGAAGTTTTGTACGCATTACATCCATTCTATTATTAAAATTGACCAAAAGTATAATATTTATTAATTATGTGGTTATAAAATGTAAGTAATTTTTTGTTAACCAAATCTGTTACCCATCCACATCATGATTAATGTAGGTATGTTATGTTCAAAGAATGCTTTTTTAACTTTAAAAAAAAAATGGAAACAAGGCTTAAACCCAATAATGACTAATGAAAATTGTTAGGGGAAAATAATCCACACCTATTAATCACGATTCATTCTATTTCACCATTACAACAATCGCAATCACATTCGCGATTATTTTCTATGGCCTGCTCCTTTTGTAATCTTCGCTTTCACAAGTTTCTCTTGAATCCTAAATATAGATTCAACAATCTTTCTTTTAAATTAGTGGAGGCCTCACTTCTCATCCTTAAATTCATTGTTTTCACCCCCTCTCCTTCTCAATCTTATTGCGTCCCAACTATTGAGTTCATTTAATTTCTGAAAATTTGGGAGCTTGATGACAGCAAGAGTTATGGAGTTATGTTTCTCATATACTTCCAATGTTCTTTTATAATCACAATGTTGGGAAATTTACACTATTCACGCACTCCTATTGCCGTCTTTGGTGATTTATACATAATGAAAAGAAAAAAACTCACATTCGATTTGCCTCGGTATATACTTTCACCAACATTACTTTTTATAACTTTAACTAAAATATAATTAAAGATACATAGTATAAAATGCGGCTCATAAATGTGAAAACTCCAACATTGCAATTTAACCAAAAAAAAAAAAAAAAAAAAAAAAAAAAAAAAAAAAAAAAAAAAAAGCAGAAGAATGCATAATCTTGGCAGAGTTGGTAAACATGAGTTTAGCGAATTGAAGTTTACCGGTAATGGCCTCATGAGTGATATGAAAAACAATCTTCTATATTGAAAGATGTGAAAAAATTAAAGAAAGATTCGGTTTAATTTTTAATGTGAGGAAGAAAAGGTGCATTAAAGTAAATAATGGAAGAAATATAGGAAAAAAGATTTAAATAATAAAAAAAATTGGTGTGTAGTTATCACATAAGATTAATAATTTGATTTTAATTTTGAAAAAAATCAAATCAAAAGTAAAATTTTAAGGTTTGTTTGGCATCATTTTTTGTTTTCAGTTTCCTTTTTTTCTAAAACAAAAAACCAAAAACAGGAAACAAGAAAAATGATTTCCACTTTTCTATTGTCAGTTTCAAAATCATCACGATTTAAATAAATCTGACTAATTTTAGATTCATTATATGACATGTATTGTATGATTTTGCAAAAAAAAATAACCAACAAACAGAAAACTAGAGCAATCCCAATTAAAAGCTGCACCAATAAGTCATGTTCAACCATTAAAGAGAGTGGCCAGAAAAACAGAACAATCTTGACACATACTGATGTCAAATGGAGTAATCTTCAGGCCCAACAGCAATTTATTCAAAGACAGATTGAAGTTGCACAGAAACATTTACACAACACCAAAAAAACATTAAATGCTTAGAAGTTATAACACACTATCGTTATGAAGTTTTGATTTTACTGCAGTTCCATTCACATCTATATTTACAAAGGTCGAGCTAATCAAAACATACAAGGACACAAGATATGCAACAGAACTACTGCATGTCAACAACATTCCATTCACAATTCATCCAAACAGCAGGCAGCAGCACTAGTAGATAGTCAAACACAAAATAAAGCAAAAAAGGTTCTAAAAAAGTTCAATGTAAGGGAAAAAAAATAGCAATAGCAAAAGAAAACATTCCCAACACAAAAGAAAGAAAGTAGTCAAAGCAAGATACAGCAGGAATGTGAAACTGCTTAAAACATGAGGAAAAACAGATAGAAGCTCAAATCAAACAGTCTAGTTAGGTGCTTGCAAAACAACTTATACCTGTAAACCGTGTTCCTCGGCATGGTATTTATTATCGCCTTCCAGACGCTCGACTTCCACATACTTGTCAAATGAAGCATACACATCTCGACAACCTTTGACATCCAGCTGAAGATCTGACACCAAGATATTACAAAATAAGAACAGAGATTGCTATCAATGACCAGAAACTCTCTTCATAGTGCAACCTGAATTCAAGAATATACCATAAAATGATTCCTTCCTCGTGGATTTATAGTCTACATTGACACATTCAATATAGTTCATATGATGCCCTTCAAACAATTTTTGAATAGTTCCCTCCACAACAGTTCCCTGATCCAGTAGTACAAACATAGTGTTTTGAGGAGTCAGCAAGATCTTTTGCAACAAGATCTATAAAAATTTGACTTTAAGCCAATTTACCTTCATCTTATCTTCAAGCTTCTCACACAAAACTCTATTGAGTTCCTGTACATCATGTTGCATGAAAGAATCATATGTATCCCATCCAAAGGACTTTGTTAATTCTTTAGTTGAGACACTTGTATCGTTATATTGAAGCTTGTAGAATAAACTTTGCAAAGCCAGAGGGATGCTATTAGTAGGGTTATCATTTTCAGTTGTTGGCATGTGGTAGACAGCCTGATACACAAGTACAATTGACTATTAATTCCATACAGAACTACCAACAGGTCACAAGCATGCTAAAAAAAAGGTGAAAAAATTAAATGATTAACACCTTTCTGAAATAAGGAATATGATATAGAGTTTGCAGAAGGGAATTCATGTAGCAAGTTGCTCCCTGATTTTTGAGTCCAACACAGCCTGTCTCTTTCTTTGAGTCATAAGCCCAATAGTCCATGACACGACGAACAGCAACCTCAGCTTCGATGATTAGAGTATCATTGAGAAGATATCCCCTTGAAGGGTCATATACATCACTGAGAGGCATAAAAGATGTGAAACCCCAATCACTCTCTCTAGCGTTGAACTGATGCTGTGTCTCTGGAAAATTAAAAAAAATCAGAAAAGTGATTCACACTAGGTTTTCTCTAATAGTGTAACATGTCTCAAGGCCGGGGGGGGGGGGGGGTGGTCCCCAACACTCCTTTAAAATATATAAAAGAAGAAAATAGAAATGTATATAATCAACAAGCTTTACAACATATAGGCAAACCACAAATCTTCTAACTTCCAAGATATTTAGGTCACTGGTTACCCCATTGTTCTAAATTTTCCATAGTGCCTTAAAACCGATATACAAACAGGAAACCTAGAGCTTGAATCACCACATGGTGGCCTATGAAATGCGCTTACAAGCATACTGTTTGTGATTGAATGGATATCTCTAAGCTTCTTAGCATGCCACAGGATTGATATCAACCTATCATTAAAAATGCAGTAGCAGCTCTCTCTTTTTTTCTTTTTTTTTTTTTGGGGGGGGGGGGGGGGGGAGGGATACATCAGCCTCCTGGCCATCATATAGAACAACGCTACTCAGCATTGTCAACTGTATTAATTACATGAAATCAGTTTGATAAGTAGGTCTCTCATATATGACAATGCCTAATTGTTACATCTTCACTACAATACTTTTCACCAGAATCTATGCAGCATAATTAATCACTATTAGCACACAAGAGGGACTGAGAGAGTGAAGAGTGGAGTCTTCAATTTCTAACTATTGTATATCAAATTGTATCTCAACTATCACCATATACAAAATATTAAATTAATTTCCCTAGCAATACTGCAATGAATAAGAGAGAACATAAGATCAATATACATAGAATTGTGCCAATCACTTTCATTCAGTAGCATACAGCAATCATATCATAAAAATAAATTACATCAAGGTTCGAATGCCAACATGGAGGCATTTATAGAAAGAAAGTAATTGATTATTCCCTTGTTTTCTCATCAACCATTGCATCAAATTCAGGACATGGAAGCAAGCACAGCACCCAACAATTCAGAATAATAACATTGGCAATTATAGCATACACTAGAACATCCATTACCTTAGATAACTAACCAAAGAACTAAAATCTTCCAGCATTACTTCACAAGGTCCCTCTCACCCACCACTTTACAAGGTAGTATATAATAGTATAAATGTATATCCCTAAGGTTCCATATAGTAACACTTTCATAAAAATGTATATTCAGTGACTAGAGTCATAATTCAGCTTTGTAAACAGAGGATTCATAAAGCATGGTTTACTATTCCAACAGAGAAAGTAAAATGGAAACGCAGAAGTCTCATATAATATTTAAAAGAAATTTATCATTATTAACATAACATTTTTCATTCAGAAATACAATTAAGGGGATAATACAGATAACTTGATGAAAGTCAAAGAGGAAAAAAGAATTTCTATAGTGCATAAGCATGGAACTTCATACTCTCCTTTACATTTTCCTTATTGCTCTAAAAGGTCAATAATCCACAACTTTGAACTTAATATCTTCTCTTCTTTCTTTCTTAATCGTAGTAATTTCGATCACATTTTCCTTTGTAGAACAAATGAAGAGCCTATCATCAGCAAGTTCCATTGGTCTTGGCTACAATAATTGGTAGCAGGGAAGGTGACAAAAGAGCAAAAGGTGTAATTTGTAGAATCACATCACATGGCTGGAAATGTGTTTCTTTTCTCATAAATTGTTCTGTATAAAATATGTTTATAAACAATTAATTATGGACTATCCTTAACAAAATCAATTGTTTAATACCTTATCCAATATCTCCTCTACTGGTGAGAGTTATGATTGGGTATTTGGGTTGATAAGCAATCTCAACCATACATTTAATGTTGCAATTGACTTTACTACAAACAACTCCTTAAAATGCTTAATACCTTATCCAATACCCACAATCTTGTTGTGTATATTCTTATACTCAACAAAACTCCCACCACCTTTTACGCTCTATTAAATCTATGTACCCAGCAAAAATGGAAAGCAGAGTATAGATTTTTCCATTTCTCTCTACAACATATCAACACTATGTGCTCCATCATAACACGTTAGCTTACTTCTTGTCACATAACATCCAACACCAGTTTAATGCAGAGAAGAGAGTACAAAGGTATCAGCTCCCCTATTCCTTAGAGAATGCTCCACTTCCTATTTATGGCCCAGCTATGTTCATGCTAAAGAACACAACTATGAAACCAATTACATTACCTTACTAGTATTACAATTGTGTAATAGCATGCTTAATCCAGTCCTCTCCTAGCTAGCTCATTTATAGAACTACGAAACCAAATACATTACCTAACTAGACACTCATAATTTAAAATGCTCAATTGTTAGACATATCAACATAAATATGCCCACTTTTGTGTTTACATAATGACATTCAAGTGAAGGATTACAAGCAAGTAGCTATATCCATTCAAAGAGTAAAATATGAACCCGCCGAGAATGCAACCAGGCATATACGTTAACAAAGAGAAGCAATACTACAGTTCAATAATATAGTCAAACATAACTCACAACTTTTATGAGCCTCAAAACATCTTTCAAGTGGAATTAACTCAAAATATAAAGACCACAATTTTATTAGCACAAGCACTGCCGTAAAAAATGTATACAGCTAGATTAGGATGGAGATAAAACATGAAAGGCACAACAAAAAAAATGTCCAGTGAGTACCTTTTCTAACTGAGTACTTTTGATGAGCTTGATTGACCACTAACAAGCTAAAAGCAGCATATCTACTCCAACCATACGGCAAAGCAGCAGCATCCGCAACATCGAGATACATTGACAAAAAATCCACATTATTTCCTTTTGGGAAAATCAAGATCCGCCTATCACAAAGAAGGTGAGTCAAAAGGCATAACAAAACAAACAAAATCGAAACAAAATGATAGGATAGACCAAATTACCATTTATAACCACCAACAACGAAAGGATCTGAGTAGTGCTTCTTAGTGTTTAACCTAGAGAAATTATCAATTGTCCATGTAAATCTTGAAGTTTGAGATTCCTCCGCTGCCTGATTCTCGGCCACATTATTAGCTTCTGCTTGTACAGCTACTAAAAAAATGAAAAATAATTTACTTACATGGTCAAAAACTGTATACACAAGAAGCCGAAAACTATCATAGAACAAAGTTCTTATCCCCACTTCATCAAATAGTTGCTTCATCTGCATTCAATCCCATCCATCCCTCCCTAGTCCCTAGTATAAGTTACAACAAATACACTCCAAAACAAATTTTCAGAAAAAGAAAAAAGGACCAGATATTTGACAGCAATTCAGTTCAAGTAAGAGCTCAAATGATTGTCAGGTTCCACCAAAATGTCAAAACAATCAATAATCAAGAAGCGATAATTGATGAACACGGAAAAGCAATAAAGCGTGAATGATTAAACTAATAAAGACAGGAGCACAGGAGCTAATCTCATCAGATTGTTGCAACATCATTCAATACATTTAAACTCCCCAAATAACATGTGATAATGTTAGAACAATGCTACTAAAAAATCCCAAAATGATACATTTCGCTCACTCGTTCCAAATTCTGCATAACTACAGCATACAAGAAAATCAAAATTCATAAACCCGAAACAACAAAGGTAATGGACCGATCCCACTTCCAAGAAAATAACACAACAATCTAAAGAAAAGCACCAATTTGTCAAACCAGAGACCTTCCATAGGTTGAGGACCTTCGACGACGACATCCGAATGGGGCACAAGCATCTCCTCGTCTTCTTGCTGCAAACCAAAAACACGACTCATCAGAAACCCCTGATCCCACTAAACCCTAGACCCAAAAAATCAAAATTCTCAATCAAACAACAAAATAATCGAAACCCAATTCACAGAAAAACCAAACAAACAAAATGCACAACAACCCAACTCAAATTAAAACGAGATCGAATCACCTAAAATTGCAGAAAATGAAAATCGAATCAAAAGATGGGGAAATTTAATAACAAATTAAAATTGAAAAATTACAAACATACATCCAAAGGAGGCTGGGTCACCATAGTCATGGATTGATGGATGAATGAATCGAAACGAAAGAGAGAGAAAAACTCCGCCGATCAAGGAAGAACAGAAGAGAAGAAATCAAGATGAAATTTCTTGTAAAAGGGCTTTTGGGTTTTCGCTTCGAAGAGTGTATATTTTGTGAGTTTATTATTATGGGAGAAACAAACTTTCGACTATTATTTCATTCATTTTAATTAATCTATCTTTTTTTATTTTTTTTGGAGTATTTTTTTAATTTCTCATTTCTTTTGATATCTTTTTTGTTTTCGCTTTTTTCTATGCGGAAGAGTTTGTATATAATTTTAACTAATACGTAGGTTAAATCACGTATCATGCACGATGATATATAATTATAAACTAAATTAGCTCCGTGCGATTGATGATATAAAAAATTTCAAACCATTGATTGCAATGGTATTTAGATTTAAATAATTTTGAAGATAGTAAAAATTTAACCAAATTATGCAATACAGAGTACTCTTAAATCGGGAATAAATATATTTGAAAGCCATATAGTTTTTTTATTTTTTTTTATAAATCCATAATAATGTAAAAAAAATAATAACATACTTCGTAATATAATAATTGTCTTTAAAAAATTATACTCCGTAGATATTTTAATAATTTAAGGTAAAAAATAAGAAGGTTTAAAAAAAAGTAAAAATAAAAATAGAATTTGATGTCAGCAATTGATTTAGGGGGGAATTTTTTTTACCACAACTTGACATCTGTACAATTTAAATAGGGAATGATGTCAACGATTGTTACTTTAGTTATATTTATAGATTATGGCTTTTCTCCCTCCGTCAATATTTTATGGTCTCGTTTGATTGCATATGAAAATTACAATGAATGAAAGTTATAATTCCTACTCATATGAAATTGCTCGATTAACTCTAAATAGAAGGTTCGATGAATAGGTGTATCTTGTAAAATCAAATATTGCTAATGGAATTTCCTGGTGTTTTTCTTGGAGTTGACCCAAGACTTAGTGTACTTGACTCATTGTACTCAACTCGACTCGATGTGATATAACTTAATTGATGTAGTGACAAGATATGACTTGATGTGGATGACTCGTGTGTGCATTGTGTTGTAATTGTGCTCATGTAACTCAAAAATGCAGACAAACAAATTTTTTTTCGTCATTTTTGTGGAGGGTATGGACTTTCTCCAGGAAAGAAAGACGTGATAAATGATGAAGTGTAGGGTGTTTGTGAAAACGAAGTTTTTGAACTTCCTTAAAAGAAAAAATGATTTGAATGAATCGATTAATGATGCATGTTGACTGGGCTTAATCAAATGTATGATATAATGTTGTGCCTTATGGTGTAAGGATTGATGATCCGATGAAAGTATTTGGATAACTTAGGCTCATAGGCTAAGTACCTCATACTCTATGATGCGATGATTGTGATAATGAGTGATTCGAAGATGACAAGGCATGCTTCAAAGTCATATCAAGATTTCATGACAAAGGGTTTCGAAGGGAAGAATTATCTGGTTACTTAATTATTTGTGATGTGTGTGAGACTAACACTAAGGTTAGGCTGAAAAGGCTAAGGGTATGGAACAATATTTTGAGAAAATCCAAATGATGGTGGTTCTTAAGTTGGGTAGGTTAATGAAGTAGGGATCAAGCCCCCAAGTCTAGCTCTAAATGGATAAGGATGAGCAATGGAGATCCCTTGATATGATCATGCCTGAATATGTGATGAATAATTAGTATGGTCGCACCCTAATGTGAGGTTGCCTACGTATTCGTTAGGAATCAAGCCGAATGTAGCTCTAATCAAACCTCGCACAAGTGTGTGTACACCTCAAGGAGGTCTTTGAAGGGTTATAACGGTTAGGTCTTTGAAGGGTTGAAACGGGGTTAGGCTAAAGGTTAAAGAAGAAAGGATAAAGGTTCAGACCTAAAATAAGCCCTCAAGGTGTGAAACCTTGAGTTTGAATCTTAGTATAGTTATATGCTTGAGGTTTCTCACTTTTGAGTTTGTTTCTTTTTTGTATTTTAGCATTTGAGATTTGTATTTGAATCTTCTTTGCATAAGTGTGGGAAATCACGATCATGCGGTCCATCACTCACATGGCATTCATGTTTCTTAAGCATGGTGTCGAGCACTCGATAAGAGACACAATTTGGGACGTGTTCATATTAAGGACATTATTGGAACACTACTTTCTCTTTTGCACACTTTTATTGCTTTTTGAAATTTTGAAACTTTGGAACTTTGGTAAAAAAAACACTCAAGCTTTTATACTTGGCTTTGAGAATTGTATAAGTTGCACACCGTCCCATCCCCAAGCTAGGTAGATGAGGGTAAAAAAAGAAAGAGCAATCGTTAGACAAGGATCAAAGTAGTTCATCAATGAAGGAGCATGTAATTGAAAGGGGTAAAGGTGATATGATGTGGCTACAAGGGGTGCCTTAAATCATTGGTATACCTTGTGTTTAGTTTGACTTTGATTTGAGGGTTTTTTTTAATGAAATGCAATGCTATGATCATATGCAAGGAAATAAATGTTGATTTATTGAAGCAGAAAGGGTAAAAACAAACTCATGAAGTAAATATAAGAAATGACGGATGTTGCCTATGCTAGACTTATTGAGGGAAAAAGGAAAACAAGAGTAAGAAAATAACCATGAAATTTTGTCGTTGAAGCTTCCTCGTGCTTTGTGCTTATCATTACTAGACATTCTTGTCGCTCGGAGGAACATGAAGCCAATTCGAATCAATGAGGTCTCAAATACGATCCTTAAGGATGAACCATTCCTCAGTAGTGTGACCATTGCCTCAATGGTATTTGCAATAGGATCGGAGTTAGGATTTTAATAAGGAGACCGTCTCTTAGGTACTAGATCTTGGATTGGACCTATGGGATGAATGAAACCTTGGCCATGGAGATAGTCAAAAGCTTCACTATAAGTCATTCCTATTGTATATTCGTCTGTGGTCCATTTTACTGTGGCTTAGGAAATTGAGTTTTTTCTTTAATCTTTGATGGGAAGAAGAAGACGGATGGTCATTCTTCCAATCCAGGCGATGAGGGTTTTGTTCAATGAATGACATCCAATTACAAGGTCTTTCACCATACTCGTAAGCTTGGTAATGGAATCTTGGAGCTTATCAACGTCTTCTTTTACATTTGCTGAGTTTTCTTTAGTGGCATCTAAGAAAACTTCTTCATCCTTCTCAATCGTGGTCACTTCGTTAATGGCAGTTATGTAGACTTTTTCGATCATGGGCTCATCGATAGATATAATGAGGAGAGAAGGGTCAAAGACCATATGGTCTTTTGTGATGGCTAGAACCTTAGAATGTTTGTTATCATCAATCAAATCCTAAATAACTTCTTTGAGTTTCCAACATTCCTCAGTATCATGACCTATTCTTTAGTGGTAATTACATTGTTTGTTAGGATCACTCTTAGGTGGTATGGCCTCCGGGGCTGGATCTTTTATGGGTCCTATGGGTATGACCAGTCCTTTGTGGTGTATTTTATCAAAGGTTGTCTCGTAGATTATTCCTAGAGTAATAAACACTATTTTTAACCTTTGGATTCGTTGCTTAGGAGTGTTTGTAGAAACTATTTCATTAATGTGAGAGGAAGAAGAAGGATAATCAGTCTTCTTTCCCTTCGCATTATTATGGTTAGCAGCTACCGATTTCATAAGTTCGTCTTCAATTTCGATGCCTATATATTGTAAATGGCCTTAAAAGTGTTTATAAGTTGATATTTTAAGTGCTTTTGGTACTTATCTTGGAGATTTCTATTACATATCCGCACATATTCCTTTTCATTAGGAACGTCAATCATCTTTGCGGAAGTCTCTTGCCACCTAATATAAAATGCAGTGAAGCCCTCATTCTCCTTTGACTTAAGGATTTTGAGCTCTCTATGATCATTTTTCTACTTGTATATTACACTTATACTTGTCAATGATATTATGCGTAATACCATCCCAAATAGCCCTTTTCTCATAGTCCATAGAAAAGAATCATTGTTGGCATACTAGTTCTAAGGAATAAGAGATAAGTAAGGGGAAGATTTTCTTATCAACCCCCTTAATTTCCATGATGATTTCAAAATATTTGGGATGGAAGTAAGGATTTTTAGTGGCTTTGAACTTAGGGATGTTAGTAACTGAGAACTTAAGACTAGAGTTGGAGGTGGCAGTGAGAATGTGAGAGCTGAAGTCAGTTTAGGTGAAGACACTGTTGAGACAGCTTTGACAGTGTATTAAGATGATGATGATGATGGTGAATATGAGTTCAATCTAGATGAGCAGTCTAAGGATGATGGTGATGATGAGGATAGTCAGAGTTTAAGTGAAGAGGAAGAGTAATCCAAGGGTGAATATGAGCCTATGGTTGAGGATTCCTTTTATCCTTTTGAGGAAGCAAAATTTGAGTGTGAGGATGAGCAGTATAACTACTTGAGTAGGTTGTATAACAATGGGGAAGTTTACAAGGATGAGGGGTTTGGTAAAATAGTTTTGAAGGAGTGGCAGTTTTTTGTTGACAAACAACACCTTAGAGATGTTGTTAGGGATTATTGTATACAATGTGGGTTTGTTGTTGTTGTTGAGATGCTAGCACCAAAAGATACGCAGCAAGATGCTCAGACATACACTGTAATTGAAGGCTGCATGCATCAATTTTTCCAGATAACACTACATGGGCAATAAAAAAGATTAGTTGTCCAGAGCACACATGCCAAGGACTTGAGGCCAGGAATTCAATGGTAAATGTGAGGTGGGAAAGAAGAATGTTGATGGATGATTTTAGGGCTAACAATGACATTCCAGATAAATCCCTGAATGATGAGTTGTTGTGGAAGAGATATGGTGTTGACATCCCATGGAGCACATTATACAGAGTTAGGTTACAAGCTTTAGTATAAATACATGGTGGCCATGATGAGTCATACAAACACTTGCCAATGTATTGTGATGTTATTAGAGAGCTCAACCCAAAATTTGTAGCTCATGTTGTTTGGACTAGACCTGAACATGAGAGGCCTCTACATTTTAGTAGCATTTTCATTGCTTTTCAAACTGCATTGGATGGGTTAAAAGCAGGTTACAAAAGCTTGATTAAAGTAGATGGGGCCCACCTTAAGGGCAATTATGGTGGTGTGTTGCTCTCTATAGTAGCCATGGGTGGAAATAATGAGATATTTCCAGTTGCATGGGAAATTGTGGAAGCTAAAAATGCTGATAGCTGGAAATTCTTCCTTTGGCATTTGAAGAATGCTCTACAAGATTCCGGAAG